TGAGGTCTTCTATGGCGAATAGAAGACCCTAAGGTCTTCTATGGCGAATAGAATAGACCCTGAGGTCTTCTATGGCGAATAGAAGACCCTGATGTCTTCTATGGCGAATAGAATCGACCCTGAGGTCTTCTATGGCGAATGGAAAACCCTGAGGTCTTCTATGGCCAGTAGAGGACCTTGATGTCTTCTATCGCGAATAGAAGACCCTGAGGTCTTCTATGACGAATAGAAGACCCTGAGGTCTTCTATGGCGAATAGAAGACCCTGAGGTCTTCTATGGCGAATAGAAGACCCTGAGGTCTTCTATGACGAATAGAAGACCCTGAGGTCTTCTATGGCGAATGGAAAACCCTGAGGTCTTCTATGGCCAGTAGAGGACCTTGATGTCTTCTATGGCGAATAGAAGACCCTGAGGTCTTCTATGGCGAATAGAAGACCCTTAGGTCTTCTATGGCGAATAGAAGACCCTGAGGTCTTCTATGGCGAATAGAAGACCCTGAGGTCTTCTATGGCGAATAGAAGACCCTGAGGTCTTCTATGGCGAATAGAAAACCCTGAGGTCTTCTATGGCGAATAGAAGACCCTGAGGTCTTCTAAGGCGAATAGAAGACCCTGAGGTCTTCTATGGCGAATAGAAGACCCTGAGGTCTTCTATGGCGAATAGAAGACCCTGAGGTCTTCTATTGTGATTAGAAAACTCAGAGGTCTCCTATTTTCTATAGAAGACCTTAAGTTCTCCCTTTGTTTATAGAAGACCTCAACTTTGAGGTTCCTATGGCCTATAGAAGACCTTATAGTCGTCTATGGCCTATAGAAGACTTTAGGGTCTCCTATGGCCTGTAGAAGACCTTAAGGTTTCCTATGGCCTGTAGAAGACCTTAAGGTCTCCTATCGTCTATAGAAGACCTTAAGGTCTCCTATGGCCTGTAGAATACATTAAGGTCTCCTATGGCTTATAGAAGACCTTAAGGTCTCCTATGGCCTATAGAAGACCTTAAGGTCTCCTATGGCCTATAGAAGTCCTTAAGGTCTCCTATGGCCTATAGAAGACCTTAAGGTCTCCTATGGTCTATAGAAGACCTTAAGGTCTCCTATAGCCTATAGAAGACCTTTGAGTCTTCTATGAGCTATAGAAGAGCTTAAGGCCTACTATGGGCTATAGAAGACCTTAAGGTCTCCTGTGGGCTACAGAAGACCTTTAGAGCTTCTATTTTCTGAGGAAGACCTTAAGGTCTCTTATTGCATATGGAAGGCTCTTGATATTTTTCATATCCCCTATTTCCGTTCCCGTCACCCCACTCTGACATCTATTGCTCCTTGTAAATTTAGGTCACACATACATATACACACATGTTCTCTTAATTGTAAGTTAATACCAGAAATATGTGTGTGAATAACCTCTGTTTCCTGTTTTTTTTTTCTCTATTTCTTTGCAGGTAAATTACAGAATATTCGACGTCTATAATTATAAATAGAATTGAGGGTAAGATATGTTACTTTTTCTCTATACACACATACATTCGTACATTTATTTATATATATTTCCCCATTTATTATTTAATTATTTTCTGTATCCTCCCCCTTTTTCAAAACTTAAAAGACTTCCTTTTCTTCTTGACAACCCTTGCCTCCACTTTGCCTGAAATGAAATGTACCTTCTCCGAATACATATTCATGATGGCGGAAAATGTCATCTCAGGGGTAATTGGGGGAAAGTAATCGGGATTTAGGGCAAAGTATTTGATGGTGTAGTTGAAGTTCTGAAAAGAGGAAATTCCAAAATTATTCTTTTGGACTTTTGAATGAAAATTTCTTTAAGGCTTACAGCTTTCAGAGGACACCCATTAAAGTTACCACTTGACCGAAATTTCTTCAACATCGATTCGACAATGGGATTAGGTACCTTATAATTATCCACATGACAACCATCGATGCGAAACTTCAGCAGATCCGTGGCAAATCCCGTTGCATTTGTTGTTGTTAGAACTTGTATGCGAAATTCGAGCAGCATTTTGTGCACATCCTTGCTCAGGGTCATATAGGCGGTCAAATAATTTCCACGATTTCGTGGTTCCGCTAACAGGGGACACCCAAAATCTTTGACATATTCATGGCTCATTGTTGTGCAGTTGGAGTAGTTGAATAAAATATCAAAGTCGCGCTGGAAAAAAAGGAAATTACTAATGTTGAGAAAGTCCTCGATGTACTCTCAACCTACCACAGCCAGTCCAAACTCAAGCCATATTAACACCAGAAAAAGGAAAATCATTTGAAAATTGAAATTTAAATTCATTTTTTATTTTCGATTTTAAATATCCTCCAAAGAGTTATTGAATTGTTTTCAATGTTGATGTGATCTCTCGTTTTTTCTTAATAATATTTGGAAAATCGTTCTGCTGGCCAAGGGTCGTAAATATGTTTTTCTAAATTGTTTTTTAATTTTTCAAAATTATTTCAAATGTTTTTCATTTTTTTTTTTTGTTGGTTTTGGAAATTATGTCAGCAATTACGAAATAATTTGAATTTTTGGAATTGAATTTCTACAACGCATTTTGTAATGTTTAGTTCAATGACAAGCATATTTTTTAGACCTTGAAATGACCTCCTAAAACTACAGGAACAATACTGCAAATATCTTGGGTATAGGAGATCTAAAGATGGTACTCTAAGAATGAATACAGGGTGAGATGAAAAAACTGCAACCAACTTCAGACTGCTGTCATTTCTAAGCCACTCGTCCGACAGCTGTTAAAATGACAGACGTCCGTCTGTTTGCCTGGCTGAAAGATCGACTCCAGAATATCCTGAAATGGATTTGCTCCAAACAGACCTAGGGTCTAAAACCGTTATTTCGATGAGGCAAGTTTTGGCCGTACCAAATGATATATACCCACCTCTCTAGCCAAATGGCTGAGGGGTAAAATCACCAGTCATTCTTAAACTGGCCCAACGCAAAATTATTGCCTGGAAATAAAAGTCACGGACGTCATTATTTTATTATTTCATTTTTTGCTTTAATTATTTTAGGCAGAGAAGCAGAAGGGGAGGAAGACCAAAAAAAAAAAAAACAAGTAAAAAAGCAGTAAGTTTGGCGGGGCCGAACTTTGAATACCCTTTACCATTTGTGACGGATTTGGCAATTTTCAAAAAAAAAAGAAAAAAAAAAAAACGAAAAACAAAAAACAAAAATAAATAAAATTCGTTAAAAATGCGGTTAAACTCTTAAAACTACCGAATGTAGGATCCATACGACGACGTGGACCTGCATGGGCAACTTTTGTCATAAGCCATTACATAATTCAAATGCGAAACTTAAATAACAAAAAAATCGGTGAATATTGTAGCCAAACTTATCAAAATTCCGAATATATGGAGGCTATACGAAGACGTAGACCTGCATCGACAATTTTCCTTCTTAGGCTGTAGTATCTATTACGAACTTCAAATATTAAATTTGAAACATTTCCGGTGAAAAATGTCGCTAAAATCATCAAAATACCGAATATCGGGAGGTACAGCTATATGGGGGCTATACGAAGACGTAGACCTGCACAGACAATTTTCTGTCATAGGCTGTAGTATCCATTACGAACTTCAAATACCACATTTAAAAGAATTCCGGTGAATAAGGCAGCTAAAATCATCAAAATACAGAATATCGGGAGGTACAGCTATATGGAGCTATATGAAGATGTGGACCTGCCCAGACCATTTTCTGTCACAGGCTGTAGTATTCATTATGAACTTCAAATACCAAATTTGAAAGAATTCCGGTGAATAATGTCGCTAAAATCATCAAAATACCGAATATCGGGAGGTACAGCTATATGGGGCTATATGAAGATGTGGACCTGCCCAGACCATTTTCTGTCACAGGCTGTAGTATCCATTATGAACTTCAAATACCAAATTTGAAACATTTTCGGTTAATAATGTCGCTAAAATCATCAAAATACCGAATATCGGGAGGTACCGGTATATGGGGGCTATACGAAGACGTAGACCTGCACAGACAATTTTCTGGCATAGGCTGTAGTATCCGTTACGAACTTCAAATATCAAATTTGAAACATTTCCGGTAAAAAATGTCGCTTAAATAACCAAAATACCGAAAAAAGGGAGATACCGTTATATTGGGGCTATACGAAGACATGGACCTGCACAGACAATTTTCTGTCATAGGCTGTAGTATCCATTACGAACTTCAAATATCAAATTTGAAACATTTCCGGTAAATAATGTCGCTTAAATAACCAAAATACCGAATATAGGGAGGTCTATATGAGAGCTATACGAAGACATGGACCTGCAAAGACAATTTTCGGTCTTAGGCTGTAGTATCTATTACGAACTTCAAATACCAAATTTGAAACAATTCCGGTGAATAATGTCGCTTAAATAACCAAAATACGGAAAAAGGGAGGTACCATTATATTGGGGCTATACAAAAAACGAGGACCTATATGACCCATTTATAATACCAAAATTCCTGCAGACATAATACACATTTGAGTAAAATTTTATCAACCTATTTTATTTCGTTTGGAGGCTAGAGTGATTTCCTCAGGCGGATAGACGTAGGGACAGGGCTAAATTACGCTGATCAAGAATATATATATATATACATATATATATATATGTATATATATATATATATATATATATATATATATATATATATATATATATATATATATATATATATATATATATATATATATATATATATATATATATATATATATTATTTTTTCGCTGAGAGTTACAAACGGAATGACGAACTTAAACAGCCTTAATACTATGTGTATGGTGGAGGTTATAAAAAAACCATCGACAACAAATGGCCATAACTTTGGCCAAAATATGTTGTTTTCTACATTTTTTATTTTATTTTGTTGTTGTTGCTTTTTGTTGTAATTGTTGCTGTTAATTTTCAAACATAATTTCCTGTGTAATTTTAGACCAGCCATGTTTTACACTTTGTCAAACATGCATGATAGGCAAGATCTTTTTTTTTGGCTGGCTTGCTTGTGTTTCTCCAAAAAAAAATAATTTTGTGTTTGTTTATTGTAAACTACTACAGCAACAACAAGAAAATTCGAATAAAATTCCAACAACAACAACAACTAACCAAAAGTGTTGTCAAGTCTTTGAACGGTGTCTGTGTTTGTGAGCCTTGGACACGTCGTTTGTGTTTTGTTTCTTGTTTTTACTCTTTTGTTTTCTAGCCGGCGGTTTGTTACAATTTTTCGGTTCTCTTGTTGTTGTTGTTTTTGTTTTCCAAAAAAAATCAACAATAACCAGAAAAATTGTGTGTTAGCCAAAAAAAAAAAAAAAAAAAAAAATTAAACTGAAATTACCATGAAAAGTCAACAAGGGCACAATAAAAATCCAGCTGACGGATGGTTTACTTGGAAATTAAATAGGAATTTTATGATTTTTGTTTTTTTTTTTTGGTATTTTTCGTCCAGCCATTTCGGAAATTTAATTTTTTGGAATTAGAGAAAAATTGAAAAATATTTGAAAATAAAAAATCTTTAATTTATAATTAATTTTTCAAGGAGGCCTAGCCGTGTGGACAAGAAATTTTTTTTCCTGGGTCCAGGAAAAGATTTTTTAATTTTTTTTTTTTTTTTTTTTTTTTTTTTTTTTTGAAAAAACTTCAGCAATCTGCTTTTAAAAACATATATAAATTTTTGCAAAGACTAAAAATAGGCCAATTATAATTTTTTTTTTTATACCCTACACCACATAGTGGTCAGAGTATTATGTCTTTGTGCATATGTTTGTAACATGGAGAAGGAAGCGAGATAGACCCATAGTTCCATAGATCCATCCGATTTGTTATTTTAGTCCTCCGCAGCCGTAATATGCACTCTGTAACAACAATGTTTGGGGAAATATATCAAATACAGCTCAGAAATACATTTGTCAAATTTTATCGAAATCGGTTCAGATTTGGATATAGCTCCCATATATAACTTCGTCCGATTTACCTTTTATTGTGCACCAAACGTCTAATATTTGCCCAAATGGGATGAAATCTGGCACTTACCACCGAATTTAGTCTAGAAGCTAGTATGCCAAATTTGGTGAAGATCGGTTCAGAAATAGCCATAGCTCCCACCTACACTTTTCATCCGATTTGTTATTTTAGTCCTCCGCAGCCGTAATATGCACTCTGTAACAACAATATTTGGAGAAATATATCAAATACAGCTCAGAAATGCCTTTGCTAAATTTTATCGAGGTCTAGTATGACGATGCAATAAATCGGGGTTCTCCTTCCGGTACCTCCTCAAAAATGGCTCAATATTTTAAATAACCAAAACGATCATAAAATACGAAATAAGCATCCGGCTGTCTTCATATTTCACACATCTCATTATTTCTACTAACACAAGATCTGCTCTGGAAATGGGATATATCGGTCCATTTCCTTCTGGTACCTCCTCACAAACATCTCGATTTCCGTCTGTCTATCGGTCTGTGGAAATCATTATCGCTTCCGAACAAGAGGAAGTTGATTGATAACATTTTTCCTCAAATGTGTATTATGTCTGCAGGAGTTTTGGTATTGAAAATGTAAGTTATGTAGGTCCACGTTTTGGTATAGCCCCCATATAACTGTACCTCCCGATATTCGGTATTTTGATGATTTTAGCGACATTATTCACCGGAATTGTTTTAAATTCGGTACTTGAAGTTCGTAATAGATACTACATCTGATAACAGAAAATTGTCTGTGCAGGTCCACGTCTTCGTATAGCCCCCCCCACTGTACCTCACGATATTCGGTATTTTGATGATTTTAGCGACATTATTCGCCGGAATTGTTTCAAATTTGCTATTTAAAGTTCGCAATGGATACTACAGCCTGTGACAGAAAATTGTCTGCGCAGGTCCACGTCTTCGTATAGCCCCCATATAATGGTACCTCCCTATATTCGGTATTTTGATGATTTTGGCGATATTATTCACCGGAAAATTGTCAAATTCGGTACTTAAAGTTCGTAATGGATACTACAGCCTAGGACAGAAAATTGTCTGTGCAGGTCCCCGTCTTCGTATAGCCCCCAAATAACGGTACCTCCCGATATTCGGTATTTTGATGATTTAGGCGACATTATTTACCGGAATTGTTTCAAATTTGGTATATGAGGTTCGTAATGGATAGTACAGCCTAGGACAGAAAATTATCTGTGCAGGTCCACGTCTTCGTATAGGCCCCATATAACGGTACCTCCCGACATTCGGTATTTTGATGATTTTTAGCTACATTATTCCCCGATTTTTTTCCAGTTTCGAATTTGAATATTCTAATGGCCTATGACAAAAGTTGCCTATGTAGGTCCACGTCGCCGTAAAGACCCTAATATAATAACGGCTACATTCGGTAGTTTTAGAATTTTGAACGGATTTTATTTTTATTTTATTTTTTTTTTTTTGAAAATTGCCAAATTCGTTCCAAATGATGGAGGGTATTCACAGATCGCCCCG